GCATTTTATATTAATCAATCAATTAATTAATATATTATGAATACCTGTATCAAGACATTACTAATACATTGTTATACATTGCTAATACATCATTATTAGAACAGCCCTAGAAGGTATTTGTTCATTTGTTCAACAAATATCCATTGCCAGGCCTTACCCTAGGTGCTTGGGGTTACGGCAGTGAACCAAATAAAGTCCCTATTCTCATGTAGCTTAGCTAATAGGGGGAGATAGACAATAAACACATAAACATACGACTATATAGAATATCAGATGGTAAAACGTGCTATGGAGAACAATAGAACAGGTGAAGAGCATAGGGATTGTGAGGTAGGGAAGGTGTGGGAGGGAGGGCATACTATTCTACATATTGTCTCATTTTTTATGGCTGATACCAAATGCCACACTGGATTGTACAGCATAATGGTTATAAGCCCAGTTTCTGGAATGACAGAGATCCGGATTTGACTCTGTATTCTCCCACTGCCAAGTGATGTGACCCCAAACAAGTTATTTCTGAGCCTCAGTTTCCTTATTTGTAAAATAAGGATAATGACACTTCCTAGGATTGTTGGGAGGATTAAATCAGATCAAATTAAAGGATCCACATAAAGCACCGCCTGGCACAAAACAGATGCTCTGAACTTATTATTTGCCTTCATCATTGACCTCCTACATGGATATTCATTCCATGTAAAATACCTGACAATGGCTGTCACCATAGAAAAGAAGCCATTAAAAAACAAAACCCCCCAAAAAACCCCCCAGCTTGGCAATAGAGAATCCACCTGTGCTGGGTACAGGAAATTGGCCAGGTAACTTGTTAAACCTAGGCTGTTGCTTCCTTCTAGAAACAAAAATAGAAGGCCCTTGGGACACATATGGCAATAGCTTTTATTTATTTATTTATTTTTTTTCCTGCATGGAATTAATGTGACAGGGAAGACAAGCCCTGTTATGTGATGAAGCAGCAGGACCAGAAGCAGATCTAAGCTGTCCAAACAAGTTCAGAACTGGATGACACAGATCTTCAACTCTACAGGCAGGGTTGGGGGTTATGGAGCCAGCAACCCCTCGGGTAGGGTCTATCCTATCTGGGCTCTACCCTTTGCCATTTTGCAGGTTTCTGCTCCAGAGGAGAGTCCTCAGCTGGCTAGAGTGGCTGTGTGTGTGTGTGTGTTTGGGGTGGGGTGGGGGCTTCTTAGGAATCAGGTGAGGTTTTAGAGGTCTGATGTTGGTACACCCAACCCTGCCCTGCTGGTCTCCTTCCCTGCGCTGGAGGGGTTGCTGGGGAAACTGTGGGCCGAAGGAGCAGGAGCAGGATGTGGATCAAAGTCTATTTTGTCAGCTGCTGCTGAAGTACTCAAAATCCCGATGTACAATTCTGATAAGGGCCTGAGCTGGAGCATCCAGGAAGGTGGACGCTTGAGGCCTAACCTGAGCCTGTTCTTCCCGCCCGATGAGAATGGCTCATCAGGCAGGGTCTAGTCAGGAGGCAGAAACCATAGAGGGATGTGACGAGAGAAGTGAAAGGAAAGAGCCATTAAGTGGGTATCAGATCGTTCCTAGGTAATGGAAACGTCTCTGAAGGAGCGCTAAGGCCTATGGAGGTACGACAGTTACCATCTATAGGGCTGAGAGAACAAAGGGGAGAGATTGGAATTATTGCAATCTAGAAACTTGGAGGAGGGTTCCTGCAGAATTGAAATTCAGACCTTTGACAATGGGGACTGCCCAGCTGGTGCTGGTATCTCTGAGGGGCAGCCCTGAGGCTGGTTGTGCAAGTGCTGCATAATGCAGACTGGATCCAGTTGCTGCTACAAGGAGAAACTCGTGTGACGGGGGGGGGGGGGGGGGGGGGGGGGGGGGGGGGGGGGGGGGGGGGGGGGGAGCCATTGCTAGGCGACACTAAGAGGAACAGGAAGCAGACAGGAAGGAGTGTGTCTCTCATCCCTCCTCCAGCCTCACCATCTCCCTCTACCGCCCCCTTTGGCAGAGCCAAGCAGGTAGTCCCCCACCCCCACCCCCCGGGGGCTGATCAGCAATGTGGCCTGCAGAGCCCTAGTTTCAGCATCGGGTGAGCAGATTAGAGAAGTGTGGGGTGACAGCTGACACGTGATAGCTCAGTAAGTGGCATCCATGCCATGGTAAGCTCCGGTGAGGAATGCAAGCATCAACTGGCATGATGGCTTTCTGAGCCAGGAAGGGAGTAGGGGATGGCTCAGCTTACTGCCTTTGGAGCAGAAAAGGAAATGCAAGAGCCAGGGAACTGAGCATGGCCGTCTGCCTTCCACACCTACTAGTGAAATACAGCCCGCGAAAGTACTGTGTGCTTATCAGATAAAATAGCAACTCCTCCCCTGGGGAGTGGGGCAGGATCCCAGCAAGGGACTGGACTGAAGAAGGTAGGGATAGGACAGGGGGCTTCCATCACCTATTTCCCCTCACGGGGGAGGAGTAGAAGCAGTAGTATAGGTATCGTGTGTAGCTTGGTACCGGGCACATAGTAGGCATTCCATAAATGGTGGCTCTTATTCAAAGGAAAGAAAGGTACACACAGATTAGGGAAAGAAGTAACTGGCTATAGTGGAGAGAGCCCAGAGTTTGGACTCAGAAGACCTGAGTCCATACTAGGTAAGTGACTTGGAGCAAGATACTTGCCTCTCTGAACCTGAAGTTTCCTTATGTGTAACATAGAGATGATAGTTGTGGGGGCTAAATCTCTTCTAGCAGCCCCTTCACATATGGTAGCTATGTTGTCCCATTATTAATTATAGAAATAGTAAGCATGGTTATTTCTTATCGGTGGTGCTAACCCTAAGTAGAAGAAACTTTAGTGATCATTTATTCCACTGCATCATTGTGCAGATTGAGACGCAGCAAAAGGTCAGTAGGTCTACGGAGGTTAAGTGAGACCTGGCTTCTGTTCCGCACCGTGCATTTCCACTTAGTGCCTAAGTGACCTTAAGTAGTCTGTCTCGGCTTCTCAGTGTGGTGAGGACTGTGGAAATGAATCCATGGCCTGGCCCTCAGTAAGTGCTCGGTAAATAGCCCTGGGACAGTTCCCTTGCGCTTGATGAACAGAGAGAGCCCCTGAGGTGAGGGTTGGCTGGTCATGACAGGGACTGTCCCGTAGAACAGACCTTGCAGGTGAGTCTGGGCTCTCTGTAATGACACGGTGAGAACACTTGAGATTTTGAGCCTCCCAATCATTTGCTTTGCGATATTGAACAAGTCACTCTTATTTCTTCTCCCTGTGGTGCTCCCCTAATAAAGATCATGATACTTGACCTTATGTCTATTTCCTGGGGTCTTCTGGAAGCTGAATAATGAAATGAGTGTCTCTGGAGCCAGAGAGTCTTGGAGAAACTCCTAAATAAATACCCTCAGATGACTAGCCTATCTAGTGTACCACAGCAGTATTAACCAAGGTTAGGGACTGGAGGCTAGAATCCTGCTTTTGGAATTCAAATTGTTCTTGTTATAGTCAACTCTTAATTTTTATGTGCTAACTGGGAAAAATTATAGCATGAATAAAAGAAGCCAGCTGGTGTTGATTGCTCTTCGCTGGAAAACTTGAGGAAGGCATAAGAGACTATATTTTAAATCTCATTATCTCTCACCTGATCGCTTTCTTCAAAGCCAGGAAGCTACAGGATGATTCAAAGGCTCAGAGCCCCAGAAGAGAGTCGGCGTACTGAATAATCTACAAACAAGACGATGCTTATCACTATAGTAGCCGTTTGTTTAGCCATTTATCAACCAGGCATGGGGATAAACTCTTCACCTGTAGTAGCTCATTTCATCCTTATTGTAATGCTAGGAAGGGGGGAGGTGTGTTCATTTATCCATCTGTCTTTTACCAGTTGAATCTCAGGTACAGAAGCTGGAGTGAAGCATACTTTTCAATTCATCGTACATTGTCATCACTGGTCTGTGCGAGACCCTTTCTTATGTTAGCTAATTAATTTGCTTGTTCCTTTTTACCCACGTATGCTATATTCATTCACCCCCATAAATAAATAACCAATCTATTTTTTAGTGTCTTTTCCTTTGTATATATTCTTATGAAATGTATATTTTGGTTTTGTGCATGTGTGTTTTAAATTTATATAAAATGACATCATGTTATATTTCATTGTCTCTAACTAAAACTGTCCTCACTAAAGCACTACATTTTTAAGCCGCATGCATGTTGCTATGGGTTTATTTAATCTATTGCTCCCAGTTGTGACATAATAGGCCATGGTGTGCGCCCACCACGGTTACACATTCTCCTGCCCAGCAATGGCCATCCAGCCTGTGTTGGTGTCAGACTCCCTGCTGCCAAAAGGAAAGAAACACTGTATCCCCATACGTCTCCCTTATGGGCTGTCTGAGGATTGCTTTGGGGTATATAGTGAAGAATGGAATTGCTCCTTCACAGGGATACATAGAATATAAACATGCCTGAGTAGTGCCAGAGGTAGGTGCTGTTATTTCCCCCATTTTACAGGTGAGGAAACTGAGGCTTTGAGAGTTTTAATAACTTACCAGAGTCACACAGACAGTGATTAGCATAGCTGGGATTCAAATTCAGACCTTCTTGCCCCCAAAACTCTACCCTTTCCCCCGCCCCAAGAGAGAGTGCATGTAAGCAGGAGGGCAGGGGAAGGGGCAGAGGGAGAGAGAACCCCAAGCAGAGCCTGACTCGGGGCTCCAACCCACAACCCTGAGATCATGACGTGAGCCAAAATCAAGAGTTGGACACTCAACCGACTGAGCCACCCAGGTGCCCCCCAGAAATCCTACTCTCGATGGCTATGCCATCATTATTCTCTGAGTATTGGAGACTTGAGGACATTTTACAAAAACATAAAGGTAAATCCCATTGTGGTGTGTATATTTTTAGAACCTAGGAATCCAGGTGGACTGATTTTTTTTCTGAAGCACCTACTTCCCTGTCCCATAGCTGCATAATAACTGGTTTCCTCTGGTTTTCATATCCTATGGGTCTGCAGCGCTAAAAGCCGCATTGATCATCCAGAACTGGTACCGAGGTTACAGCGCTCGGTTGAAGGCCAGACAACGCTATGCCCTCACCATCTTCCAGTCTATCGAATATGCTGATGAACAAGGCCAACTGCAGGTCTGTTTTGCCAGTTTGTCTCTTCTTTTGGTAAAATGCTTCTCTTTACCCCTTATAATTGAGAAAAGGAGAGTTTGGGTCCATTTACCGTGGTGAAAGCTTTAATAGAGGGTGACATTGTCTTGGAAGTAGCTGTGGAGAGAGAGTAGGATTTGGGAAGAGGAAGGTATTTTTCGTTTCTGAAGTTTATATTTTGAAGAGGGCTGCCAGATGTCTAGTTAACTAATAAAAAATGATCTTATTCTGTTCTTGGGCACGTGTCCCAGGAGGAAGTAAGGTTGTTACTTTACGAAGGAAAAAATATTTTAAGGAGTTAAAAAAATGAAAGAATTTCCTGAGAACAAACCCAAGAGAGTTCTAGAAGAAAATATAGATGGGCGAGGAAGGCCTTTTTCAAGCTTGCGAAACTGCTGTATAAATCCAGCTTTAATGCTTCTTAGTAGAAAAAAAGTCCTTTTTGGCCATTAAGGGGAAGGAGGATATATGATATCCTCTGCCTCTGCAGGAGGTGCTGCCCACCAGCTGAGGGAGGAGGGAAGCAGGTAGAGGCTGGGAGAGCGCGCCAACAGGATTTGCCATGGTGGCTGTCTGGGGATCACTCACTGACTAATGTGTTTCTATTTTGTCCAGTTATCCAACTTCTTTTCCTTCATGTTGGAAAACTATACACATATACACGAGAAAGACCCAGGTAAGTAAAATGTTTTGTCTTTTGAAACGCAGTCATTAAATATTGAATTGTCCTCATCAAGGGATGTAAACTCTGAAGATGGGAAGACACTAAGAAATTAAAAAGATGCCCACCCGTCTTGTCTTTGTGACACCAAACTGGTGAAATCAGTTCAAGTGGCTTTTTTTTTCTCTGATTGTTGTTTACTAAATTTGTTTAATTTTGTCACTTTCACGAAGCTGAATTAGATTTCATTCAATGTTAATTTGTTGAACACCTTCTCTGAACCACAGTCTGTTGATGTACAATAGTAGCTTTAGTAAAGAGGATCTTATTTTTTTTATCGACAAAACTTTCATGCCGAGAGATCAAAATAAACAAATCTGGGGGGACATGGTGGCTTGAACACGGTTTTCCGTTTTGTGCAGAGCTAGCTGTCCATCTCTCTGTCCCTTTATCATTTATGTAGTCTTTCTGAAATGACTAAGTAAATCATCTCAGGGACAGGCAATGTCGGTATGGTTCAAAATGATTTTAAAATTATAGTTATTCCCCAGGCATGCATGCATTTCTCCTGCAAAATCAAGATGATTGTTGTTAACTTCAAGGTAGATGCTAGACTTAAAAACTTATTTTTCTTTAATTTGGGCCAACCATTTTTTGTTCTAATTAAAAGTGTATGGAATCTAAGAGCTCCTTTTAAATCATCCAGCAAGCACCCTTCACTGTGGCAAAATGGTATTTTAATGGCATGCTTTGAGCTGAGCGCATATGTATGAAACTAATTAAAGCATTTAATGATCTGTAGAAGCTTTCTAAATGGTAGAATAGCCAAACCTGAGGAGTGGGGAGTGGGAGGAAGTGGGTATTTTGCCATTTTCTTTCTTTTAGATAATTGCAATTTGAAGATAGTTGTTTGTGCTTCATGTTCTTTGGCAAAATATTTCTGAGAGGAAATATAATGATGATGAAATGAAGCAGCACTGTTTTTGCTAATGACCTAATATTTCGATCTGGGCTGTGCATCAGAATCACTTATGGAGATTCATAGCCACAGATGGCTGGGTTCCAGCCCAGAGATATTTTCTCAGGCTCTGTATTTTAAAAAAATCTGCATGTCAAAAAATTCTGTAGGTGATTTAAAAATATTAAAAAATTTTATCAAAGAAGGGGACAGTGGCGTAATCTTCTTAGGTAAACTTTTCTTGAAGTATAACATACATTAAAACACACAAATCTTAAGTACAAGAATCAATAAATTTTCTTGAAGTAAGCATGCCCGTGTAACCCGCACCCAGAACAAGAAAGAAAACATTATCAGAGCCACCGAAGCCTCTCTGCTGTCCCCCTCCCGTCACTTACCAACTCCCCCATGATGGCTTTCCTGACTTCTACGTCCTAGATTGGTTTTACTTGTTTTTGAACTTCACTAGATAAATGAAAGCACAGTTTTGAGTCTGTCTTTTACTCAATGGTGTATTTGTGAGAGTCATCCACGTTGTTGCAATTCGGTCATTCTTATTGCTGAATGTTGTTCCATTTTACGAATTTCCCAAAACGTATCCATTTTATTGTTTATGGACATTTGGGTTGTTTTCAGTTTGGGTAATTTGAATGGTACTGCTATGCACATTCTTGTACATGTCCTTTTTGGTGAACATATATATCATTTTCTTTTGCTATATTCTCATTTCCAGTTATCTATTGCTGCATAACAAATCACCCCAAATTTAGAGGCTTAAAAACAACAGCTATTTTATTGCTCTTGATTCTGTGGATCGGACATTTGAACTGGGCTCAGTGGGGATGGCTTGTCTTCGTTCCATGCGGTGTCAGTTGGGCTCACTCAACCTCGCTGGGCTGTGTAGGGAGGTCTAGATGGTTTTACTCACCTGTCTGGGACTTTGGTATTGGCTATGATCTTAGCTACCTCAATTCTCCTCATGCAGCCCCTCTGTCTAGCAGGATATCCCAGACTTGTTTACATGGTAGCTGGATCCCAAGAGGACAAAGGCAGAAGCTACAAGGCTTCTTAAGGTCTATTCTCTGGAACTCACATAAAATCGGTTCTGCCATATTCTATTGGTCAAAGCAAGTCACAAGGGCAGCCACAGATTCACAGGGGCTAGGAAAGCTCCATCTCTTGCGGGGGGGAGCAGCAGCGTTATATTGGAAAGGGATGCAGATACAAAGGGGCTTGATTCACTGGGGGCCATTATTATAAAGTTGTACTGTGACCCCGGAGTGGAAGTTTTGGGTTACAGGGCATGCATGTGTTCAGCTTTATTAGCTACTGACAAACCTTCTTATAAATGTTGTACCAACTTATACTGCCACCAGTGGATGAGAGTTCCAGTGTTCTCTATCCTCTTCGACACTTGGAGTTGTCATTCCTTTTCATTTTAGCCATTCTGCCTGATATGTAGTAGTATCCCATTTCTGCTTTAATTTGTATTTCCCTGCTGAGCAGTGAAATTGGTCACCTTTTTGTCTATGTAGTGGCCATGTGAACATCCTGTTTGGTGAAGTGCCTATTCAGGTCTCTTGCCATCCTTTTATTGGGTTAGCTGTTTTCTTCTTACCAATTTTTAAGAGTGCTCAAAGTATTCTACATATGATAATATGAATCTTTGTTAGATAAACATATTGCAGATATCTTCTCCTAGTCTTTGCCTTTTATCCCCCTAATCTTTAAATGCTGCCTTTTGATGATAACAGACATTCTTGATTTTAATGTAGTACAATTTTTTTCCCTTTATGGTTAATACTTTCTGCATCTTGTTTGAGAAATCTTTGCCTGATATGAGTGTGTGTGTGTGTGTGTGTGTGTGTGTGTGTGTGTGTGCGCACGCGCGCGCACATGCACAAAAATAAATACAGGAGAAACCTATAGGATAAACCAGAAACTAATGACCTTGTTTACCTACAGGGGATAAGTGGATGGGTGGGAACAGGGAAGAAAGAAAGAATGGGAGAATGGAGTTGGGTAGAGGGCTGTGGAAGGAGTAACACTCCTCTGAACGTACCTAAGTTTTGACTCTTAGAACCATGATAATGTTTCACATCCATCAAAAAAATTGTTACAAACAAGAAAAGAATGTATGTGTGTGTCTTTCCAAAATAGAATACACACAGTAACAAATGAATTTAACTGTATTACAAATAACAGAATCACCTCTTGGAGTTGGGGAAGAAACAAACTAACCTAAGTAACACTGGAAAATAGGGCTTTAACTATAATGAGCCTTGATGATGCTTCATTTATATTTTATCCTGTGTGGGGTTTGCTTGAGCTTCTGTGATATCTAGGTTGATATTTTTCATCAGGTATAGAAAGTTTTTACCCATTAATTATTTAAAATATCTTTCAAGTCTAAATATCTTTTTCTTTGTGAATCCCTGCTTTTAAACTTAGAAGGCCTTGAAATATTTAAAATGTGGATCGCTATGCCTGGATTTCTAGATTTTTTTTTATGGTTTGACTTTTAAAAATTTTAACACTTCATAAATTTGGGATTTTTTATATTAAACCAAAAAAGGAAATCTTGATGCCTTGTGGTTGAAAACAAAGAGCACAGCTAAAAAGAAAATGTCCAAGTAGTTAACCAGTTTTTCCCACAATGTTCATTTCATAACGTATCTTTTCACCATGGTTTGTAGTGCCTCCTTCCCCATGTATTCATTTAAAAAGTATGTATTAGGGCATATTTCTAGGCCTCTATTCTCTTATACATCTCTCTATTATAGAGTCCTAGAATCTTACCGATTTAATTATTGTGTGTAATGGAAAAATTAATTTGCAGATTACTTTTGTAGGTTGATTTCTTTTAAAAATTTTTTCCATGGGGCACCTGAGTGGCTCAGTCTTTAAGAGTCTGCCTTTGGCTCAGGTCATGATCCTGGGGTCCTGGGATTGAACCCCGCATCGGGCTCCCTGTTCCGCGGGAAGCCTGTTTCTCCCTCTCCCGCTCCCTCTGCTTGTGTTCCCTCTTCCACTGTGTCTCTCTCTGTCAAATAAATAAATAAAATCATTAAAAAATTTTTTCCCAGCTTTATTGAAATATAGTTGACATATAACATTGCAGAAGTTTAAGGTATACACTGCCGTGATTTCATATAGGAATATACTATGAAATGATTACCACAACAATGTTGGTTAACACATCCATCACCTCACAGTTACAAGTCCTTTGTGTGTGGTGAGCCCTTTAAAAATGTACTCTCTTAGCAACTTTCAAGCATACAATAAGAGTAGTGTTAACTAGGGTCACGGTACTGTACATTACTGTGGGTTGCTTTCTGATGGCCTTCTTTGGTGGGAAGGTTCCACACAACGTCCACCTAGGCCTGTTTTGCAGAAGCGCCAGGACCCCTAAGCGGGATGTATTTAGGGACCAGAAGATCACTTAACATTCCCAGATATCGTCAGACTAATGGTTTTAACTCTGAGGCACAGTGTTAGTTGAGACATCCTGGGTGTTCCATAGGTAGGAGGTGATCTGGAAGCCGTTCATTTCCGTGTCCTACTACTTAGTGGCTCAAACCGGTTCATAGGACTTGATGGGGAGACTCAGCACATCCATCCCATAAGGTAGAAGGCCAAAGCTGCTCTACAGAGCAATAGGTTTAAACAGAGACTGGTGGAAGTGGGGAGTGGGAGGGAGCGTGTGCAAGTGTTGTTTTGACTATCCTTTCTGCTTCCCAGATCAGCCAAAATGTCCTATCAGACCCAGGTATTTTATATTTTTTTGTGGCTATGGTCAGTAGGTTATTTTCCCCATGATATCTCCCCGGTGATTATTGGTAGTATTTAACAAGCTTGTATTGTGCTACTATTGAACAATAGCATGAATGAACTTATTATTAATTATTATTATTGCTAGTATCTATTACATGTTTGCCATGTGCCATGTCTTTTAAGTGCTTTAAATATTTCATTTAGTCTTCATGACAAACCACTGAGATTAGTATTATTATCATCCCCTTTTGTTGGATGAGAATATTGAGGCTTAGAAGGTGACCTCCTAAGGTTATTCATCTCAACATTGGTAAAGCTGTGATTCAAACCTCTGGAGTATGGAATTCTCCTCTATCAGTTCTGGGAGTTTCTCAACTGATTTTCTTGAGTATGGATATTTAATCACACTGGCCACAAGTAACTTTATTTTTACCTCTTTCTATCCAGAGCTCTTATTTCAGCTTTGTGTTTTGTTGCGTTGGCTAGAAATAGCAGAACAATGTGAAAAGTAAGCAGTGAAACTAGGCATCCTGATTTGTTAATGCTTTAATGGAAAAACCATTCTTGTTGATTTCAATTTTTAAAATTCTGTTAAGAGGTAGGCTTTCATTCCTAGTTTTCTGAGTTTTTAAATAATCAGGAACAGGTGTTGAATCTTATGAAATGCAGTTTTGCCATTTATTGAGTTTATTATATGGACACTCATAGTTTTAATCCAGATTCGTAACTGAGAAATGAAGTAACTCTAAAATGCAGTTCAATTGGTCCTTTTCTTTCCCCAGCCATATCTGGCAGAAAGTGTGTGTGTGTGTGTGTGTGCGTGCGCGCGTGCGTGCATGTGGTGTTGTTGTTTTTTTTTAATTATGGGCTTTAACATGTTCCCTGTCCAGATTTTGAGTTTGTACTGGGTAAAAGAAAAGATTATATGTGGGGGGTAGTTTTGAGATATTTTCTTTAGAACAGCTTGTAAAGGTATCATTTGGTTATAATTCAAGATTTCATTATATTTAATTAGTTTAGATTCCTGTTGACAGAATTGTAAAGCAAACAGGTAAAGATTCATTCAAATTACATGGTGCACAAATCTTTACATATTGTTGGCATTCATTAAATTTTTCTTATTAGCTATGATAGTTACGGCCCACACTACTTGCATTCGAATTGGTACAGCTTCTGATTGTTTTCATATATGACCCACATTAGCTACCCATATTCGGAAGAGAATCTATGTTATTTTTTTTAAATGTGGCTAAAAGTCAGCAAAAGGATTATGATTTGATGTTTATTGGTATTTCATATTGAGTAGTTTTGACTAAGAAATGGCTTAGGGAAATGGTGCTTTTTCGTATATTTATCACAGGACTTATAAGAAATGAAGGTGAACAAACGTATGGAAAGAAGGGCCAGACCAAGCTTTTTGTTTGCTTGTTTTAAAGAAGAAAAACACTACTTTAATTTTGTTCTTAAAAAAAACAAGACTGCATTGGGCTGATGAGAAAGGGAGAGCGGACAGAGCACGGGTGAAGGCAGTGACTGGGAAAAGAAAATCATGTCAGGCTTGTACCTCACACAGGTGGGATTACTCAGTAAGTCAGTTATAAGATGATATAGTGAGACCAGTGGGGTTGTTTCTGTCTGTCTTTGTTGTTTTCCCAAGAGGAGCCCAATATTTCAGTGTGTAGAGTCAGGAAGATGTGTCTCTAAGGACGGAATGGCATGATCATTAAGACAGTTAAGTAGAGTATTTAGGCTTCACTGCTTGCTTGATGGAATCTGAGGTAAAATTTACCAAGCTGCTCTGCATTTCTAGTTTTCAAGCATAAAATGGAATCATTAAGTGATTCTCAAATCTCAAACCAAATCCAAATGAGAAAAATACACTGCGCTGGACCACACTGAAGACACACCTTATTATTCCTAAATTTAACTTCTTATGAAACATCATCAACTACCACCAAAGAAGTGTCGGGGGGGGGTACACAATAATTTAGAAAGCATTTTTAAATTACCAAATATCATGACTTATTTTAACAAGTTTTTTTTTTCAAGTTTAGTTCTTAACTCTAATCTCTCGGCATAACTGGATCATGAAAAAACATGTATTCTATCTACATCTGCTAACGTCACACGTGTCTACTCTAAATATTCAAAAAGATAAAAACTACTTGCAGAAAACTTCTCTTCCCATTGGCTTGGTAGCAATTGTTAATGAGTTGAAGAATACATCACCATCCTCTGTATCCGTTATCTGTTAATGAAATAATACTGTGTATTAAACAACCACAAGAGCTCAGTGGCATGTAATAAGCATTTCTTTTGCCCGCAAGTCTACAGGTTATCTGAGTCCTTCTGCTGATCTTGACAGGCTTGATTGGGCAGTTTTCCTCAGCTCTTGATGAGAGTTCACTCATGTATTTGAAGGTCTGCTGGCTAATGGCTGATCTGGGATGGCCTTGGCTGGGGTGACTCAGTTTTGTTCCCCATAGTCTTGGAGCTTTCATTAGGTTAGCCTGGGCTTTGTGCTAGTAGCTTGGGTTCGAAAGAGAGAGCATGGAAACATACAAGGCCTTCTGAGGTCTTGACTAGGAAATGGTACGTAATACTTCCACCACATTCTTTAGGCCAACACAGGTCATGAACCCCACAACCGAGATTCAAAGCCTGGGGAAATAAACTCTTGTTGAGAGTAGCTGCAAATCGCATTAAAAAGAGCCAGGCTAAATGTTGAGATAGACAATCGGGATCACTTTTGCAGTCAGTCTGCCATACCCCCTTTCATCTTTCTCCAACCGAATTGGCCAGATTTCTGTTCTTGGGCTGACTGTTTTATAAGCAGCCTAGCAAGAAAGGGACCCTGGATCTCAGCACCTACTGAAATGGGCAGTGCAGGCGATCTGTTACACAGAAATGTTTCTCTGAGAGAGAGACCCTATGGGTATTTCTGCCTGTGTTTCATCATCTAACTTTATCTGCTTTGTTATCAAGAAGAAAAAGAAAATCATGTCAGAAAATCTGTTTTTATGTAAAGAGAGAAATCTATTACAGCTAAGTAAAATTTGAAGTGTTTAACAGGGGAAAAATTGAATGTTGCAGTTTAATTTTCTGAATAGCACAGATGTTTGAATCAAATGCAATACATTGTTATGTGTTCAGCCCGATTTGTAAAAATCTGAGATGTAAGAGTAGGCAAAAAATGTAGAGGTAGAGTTTCAGAGCATCAAAGTGCCTTGATTGCCCAGTTTTCCCTGTGTTTCTCCTTCTCCTCCCCACCAATGAACTCACTGCTTTGGTACGATGTCCACTTGGGAAGGGATGAGGGTGATTCATGTAAATGTACCTAATGATCTGAGAACAAATCCTTCCTCATGATTATATGTGGGATAGTTTGGTATTCATAACGTGTAGCACAGTGCCTCATGTGGGCTCGATATTCAAGAAGGTATTTATTGAATTTAAGTATGGGAATATTGACTCCCCCACCCTTTCTGTCTTTCCTTTTCCAGATTTAGTTGCTCGACTCTTTGGTAGCACCCTCCAGGACTGCAGGGATAGACAGGAGTATGTCTCATTCATAGACGTCCCAGACTCCTATAATGGTCCTCGGCTGCAATTTCCTCTCACTTTTATTGATATTGATTTACTTGTCGAGGCCTTCAGGCAACAACAGGCAAGTGGAAGCGGATACTGCCATGATTCTTGTACATAGCATATGCTCAGTGACTATCTGTTGAATGAATGAATGAAAATACTATAGCGGAAATGTACTCCCTTGGGGGAAAAGCTTCATAATAAGTGAGAGCTACCCTCTGCTTTGCTTAACCTATTAAGTAGCAGTCTCCGCAGATGCACAGAAACTTCCTATCTGTAGGTGTACAGCATTTCTTTTTTCTTTTTCTGAGATATAATTCGCATATTATAAAATTCATCATTTTCAGGTGAGTGACTTAAGGGTGGGGGGATGGGTGAAATGGGTGTAAGAGAGTGGGAAGTCCAGGCTTCCAGTTATAGAATGAGTAAGTCACGGGGATAAAAGTTACAGCCCAGGGAATGTAGCCGATGGTACTGTAACAGCCTTGTATGGTGACAGACGGGAGCTACACTCGTGGGGAGCACAGCGTAACGTATAGAGTTGTCGAGTCACTGTGTCGTACCCCTCACACTAATGGAACATTGTTTGTCAACAATTCTCCAGTGAAAAATAAATAAATAGGGCGCCTGGGTGGCTCAGTTGGTTAAGCGACTGCCTTTGGCTCAGGTCATGATCCCAGAGTCCCGGGATCGAGTCCCACATCGGGCTCCCTGCTCAGTGGGGAGTCTGCTTCTCCCTCTGACCCTCTTGCCTCTCATGCTCTCTCTCACTCTCTCTCTCTCAAATAAATAAATAAAACCTTAAAAAAAGAAAAATAAATAAGAATATGTACAATTCAGTGGTTTTTAGTTCGTTCACAAAACAGTGCAACCATCATCACCAATATCTAATTCCAAAACATTTTCATCACCCCAAAAAGAAATTCCGTACTCATTACCATCCCCTCCCCCTTCAGCCCTGGCAACTATTAGTCTACTTTCTGTCTCTATGGATTTGTCTGTTTTGGACATTTCAAACAAATGGAATTATATAATATGTAGCCTCTTGTGTCTGGCTTTTTCACTTAGCTAATGTTTTTAGGGTACATTCATGCCATAGTATGTTTCATTGCTCCTTTATTGCACTGACTAATATTCTGTTATAAGGATATACCACATTTTGTTTATTCATTCATCAGTGGATGAACATTTGGATTTTTTTCTACCTTCTGGCTCTCATGAACAATGCTTCTATCAACATTCACTTACAGGTTTTTGTGTGAATGTGTCCTCAGTTCTCTTGAGTATATATAACTAGGAGTGGAACTGGGGGGTCATATGGTAACTCTATTTAACTTTTTGAGAAACTGCTAAATTGTTTTCCACAGTGGCTGCGCCACTTTACCTTCCCACCAGCAATGCATGCGGGTTCCAGTGTCTTCACATTTTTTGCCAACACTTGTTTTTGCTTTTGTTTATTCTTTTAAATTGTGTTTTCATTATAGCCATCCCAGTTGTATGTGAACTGACACCTCCTACTGGTTTTGATTTGCATTTCCCTGATGACTGAAGATGTTGAACATCTTTCCATGTTTACTAAGCATTTGTACACTTCTTTGGAGAAAGGTCTATTCAGTTATTCAGACGCTTTGCCCATTTTGAAATCAGGTTATTTGTCTTTATGTTATTGAGTTGTAAGATTTCTTTATATATTCTGGATACAAATCTCTTACCAGATATATGATTTTTTTGAAAAGATTTATTTATTTCTTAGAGAGAGAGAGCGTGTGGGGGGGAGGGACAGAAGGAGAGGGAGAGAGAGAGAGAATCTCCAGCAGACCCCCTGCTGAGCAAGGAGCCCAATGTGGGGCTCGATCCCACGACCCTGAGATCATGACCTGAGCCCAAACCAAGAGTTGGATGCTTAATCAACTGAGTCACCCAGGCCCCCCTCAGATATATGATTTGAAAATTTTTTTTCATTCTGTAAGTCATCTTTTCACTTTCTTGATAATGTCCTTTGATTCACAAAAGTTTCTAATTTTGGTGAAGTCCAGTGCATCTATTTTTTTTCCTTTGGTTGCTTGTGCTTTTGTGTTATATCTAAGAATCCATTGCCAAATTCAAGGTCATGAAGATTTACCCCTTATATTTCCTTTTAAGAATTTTATAGTTTTAGCTCTTACATTTAGTTCCATGAACCATTTTCCCTTACTTTCTGGGGATATATGTTATGAGGTAGGGATCCAACTTTATTCTTTGCACATAGATATGCAGTTGTCCTAGCACCTTCTGTTGAAGAGTTCATTCTTTCCCCCTTGAGTGGTCTTGATATCCTTGTTGAAAACTAATAGGCCACAGATGTATTGATTTATGTCTGGACTCCCAATTCTATTCATTTGTGTATGTCTCTATCCTTATGCCAATACCACATTGTCTTAATTACTATAGCCTTGTAGTTAAGTTTTGAAATCAGGAAGTATGAATCCTTCAATTTAGTTCTTCTTTTTGAATATTGTTTTGGCATTTGGGTTCCCTTGCAATGAATTTGAGGATTGACATTTCCATTTCTTTAAAAAAAAGCCCATTGTGATTTTGGTAGGGATTGCATTGAATCTCTAGATCACTTTGGACAGTATTACCATCTTGACAGTATTAAGTCTTCCAATTCATAAACACATGATGTCTTTCCATTTATTTTGGTCTTCTTTGATTTCTTTCAGCAATGTTTTCTAATTTTCAGTGCACAAGTCTTTTTCTACCTTAAATTTATTCTTTGGTATTTTATTCTCTTGATTGCTATTATAAAAGGGATTGCTTTCTTAATTCACTTTTGGATTGTTTATTGTTGGTGTATAAAAGTACACTCAATTTTTGTGGGTTGAGTTTTTACTCTGCCACTTTGCTTTGTTAAGTTCATTTATTAGCTCTAGTAGTGTGTGTGTGTGTGTGTGTGTGTGTGTGTGTGTGTGTGTGTGTATTTTGAGACAATCTATATACAGGATCATGTCATCTAGGAATAGAGATAGAGATAGTTTTACTTTTCCTTTTTTTTTTAAGATTTTATTTATTTATTTGATAGAGAGAGACACAGTGAGAGAGGGAACACAAGCAAGGGGAGTGGGAGAGGGAGAAGCAGGCTTCCCGCTGGGCAGGGAGCCTGATGCGGGGCTCGATCCCAGGACCCTGGGATCATGTCCCGGGCTCAAGGGAGACGCTTAACCAAGTGAGCCACCCAGGTGCCCCTACTTTTTCTTTTTTGATTTAGATACCTTTTATTTCTTTTTCTTGCCAAGGCTCTGGCTAGAACTTCCAGTACGATGTTGAATAGCAGTCGTGAGGGCAGACATGCTTGTCTTGTTCTTGATCTTAGTGGGAAAGCTTTCAGTCTTTCACCACTGAGTTTGATGTTACTTGTGGGTTTTTCACAAATGCCTTTCATCATGTTGAGGAAGTTTTCGCCCATTCTTAGTTTTCTGAGTGTCTTTGTCATATAAATGTGTTAGCTGTTGTCAAATACTTTTTCTGCACCAATTAAGATGATCCTGTGTTTTTTTCCTTCACTTTATTAATATGTATATTGCATCGATTAATTTTTTGTGTGTGTTGAACCACCTTGTATTCCTGGAATAAATCCCACTGGGTCATGGTCTATGCTTCTTTTAAAATTTTACTGGATTTTGTTTGCTAGTATTTTGTTGAAGTTTTTTTTTTCATTTTATTCATAAAGGGTATTGATGTGTATGTTCTTGTGGTGTCTTTATCTGACTTTGGTATTAGGATGATATTGGCTTCATAGAATGAGTTAGGAATTGTTTCCTCCTCTTAATTTTTTTGGAAGAGTTTAAGAAGGATTGGTGTTAATTCTTCAAATGTTCACTAGAGTTCACCAGTGAAGCTGCCTGTCTTGGACTTTTCCTTGTTAGGAGGTTTTTGATTACTGATTCAATCTCTACTTGTCCTAGATCTGTTCAGATTTTCTATTTCTTCTTGAATCGGTTTTGGGAATTCGTATGTTTCCAGGAATTTGTCCATTTCATCTAAGTTATCTCATTTGTTAGTGTATAATTATTCATAGAATTCTCTTATAATTCTTTTTATTTCTTTAATGTTGGTGGTAATGTCTCCACTTTTAGTTCTGATTATACTTATTTGCATTTTCTCTCTTTGTTTTTCTCTGTCAGTCTAGTTAAAGGTTTGTCAATTTTGTTAATATTTTCAAAAAACCAACTTTGAGTTTTGTTGAATCTTTCTATTGTTTTTCTGTTGTCTGTTTCATTTATCTGAACTCTAATCCTTTTTTTTCCTCTGCTAGCTTTTGGCTTAGTTTGTTCTTTTTCTAGTTCTTTAGTGTCAAGTTAGGCTTTTCATTTGAGATCTTTCTTCTTTTTAATGTAGGCATTTGCAATTATAAATTTCTCTCTGAGCATTGCTTTTGCTGCATCCCATATATTTTGGTATGTAATATTTTCATTTTCGTTCATCTCAAAGTAGTTTCTAATTTCCTTTGTGATTTCTTCTTTGACCTATTGATTATGTTGTTTAATTTCTACATATTTGTGAATTTTTCAGTTTTCCTTTTGTTATTGATTTCAAGTTTCATTCCATTGTGATCAGAGAAGATACTTTGCATGATTCCAATTTTTTAAATTTATTGAGGCTTGTTTTGGGGCCTAACATCTGGTCTATCCTGGAGAATGTTCCATGTGTTCTTGTTAAAAAAATGTGTAGCCTGATGTTGTTGGGTAGAGTGTTCTATAGATGTTTGCTAGGTCTAGTTGTGTATGAGGTCTCTGAAATCTCTGTTCTTTTAGCTTGTGTTCAGCTAGTATTTGATAGAGATTTCCTTGAACAATAGGAGCCAGAGAGAGAGAGAGAATGAGAGAGAGAGTGGGAGAGAGACAGAAGCAAAGCAAAGCAAAGACAAGCCTAGTCTTTGCAGATGGGCTCTATGTTGGTAAACTTCTTCACTGCTTAGCTAGGCTGTTTACAAACCTATTTTAGCCTTTACTCTCTGCTTGCACTGAGCCATTTTTAAGTTACCTTTTTCTTGATTCAGCCTTTGCTTGGTTACCATGAACTTTATTTTCCAAAGTTCTGTGAAAGTTGATTTTGACAGGTTTTTTTGTTGTTGTTGTTTAAGTTTTCAGTGTTTCTGTGGAGTGATAGGACCTGTGAGCTACCTATTCCATTGTTTTCTCTAACATTACCCCAAAACCCTCATTCTCAGGTTCATACCCTAGGAGTAAGAGTGAACTATAAGTAGATTGTCTCTGTAGGGATTGAAGCAAAGCTTGGAATCATCTAATTCCTGAAATTAAATTGAGATTATCCTAGATAGCTGCTGTTCCTAGCCACCTGCCAAATGAAAAAGTAAATCCTCTCTGGAAGGAAATAGGCCTCAAATTATTTCTTCAAATTGTTATGTACAATGTCCAGAACTTAATACAAATATTAGCCAGGCATAGGAGGATACAAGATTCATAACAGAAAACTGAGGCAAACAACAAACAACAGAAACAGACCAATATTTTGATAATGGCATCATCAAACTCAGAGTTTAAGATAAATATGCTTAATATGTTCAAAGAGAGAAAAGATATGACAAAAATCCAAGGAGCTATAACAGAAAAGATCAATAATTCTGACTTTATAAAAATGAGAAAATTATGTTGTTAAGGGAAGACTGAAAGGTTCAACATAGAGTACAGTGTGCTCCCATTTAAAAAAAATTAAGTATTATATATATTTTGAGATAACATTTACATAACATAAAATAGATCATATTAACCATTTAAAAGAGTACAATTTAGCAGTTTTTAGTATATTCAAAATGTTATGCAACCATCACCACTAATTCCAGAACATTTCATCACCCCAAAGCAAAACCCTGTACCCATCAAGCAGTCACTCCCCATTGCCCCTTCTCCCTAGCCCCTGGCAAGCACTAATTTGCCTTCTGTCTCTACGAATTTGCCTAATCTGGACATTTCATATAAACGGAACCATATAATATGTGACCTTTTATGTCTGGCTTCTGCTTGGCAAAATGTATTCAAGATTCATCCATGTTTTGGTATGTGTCAGTATTTCATTCCTACTTTTAGTTGAATAGCATTCCTTTGTATGAATATACCCCACATTTTGTTTAAGGGATTATATATTTATAGAATAGAACATATATATTAATATTACATATTCATATGTGGTTATATTAATTTTTATATGCTTACAAATGCATAGACTATGTTTTGGAAAGATAATAAAGACACTCTTAACAGTCACTGTTTCTGGGGACAGGAACTGAGGTCTGGGGAAGAAAGAAAATTGCTTTTCACTTATACTCCTTTTTACTATTTAACTTTTTATTTCAACTGAAAAATGAGATTTTTCTTCATTTGAAAACTCATTATTTCATACAAAGAAATGTCCTTTAGAAGTAGTATTTTCCTCCCTCGTTGCCTTTAAAAGAATATGAATATTTTATTTAAGTTGCTGTTTACTCTGACCATCTCTATAAATGTAGAAACCAACATCTAAGTTAACTTTTTTGAATATTTAATATTACAACTGTAAACACAATTATAATGCTATTTAGAGACAGCATTGTAAGCAAATACTGATATTAGCTATGTAATTTTAGCCTATTGAAAAAGGAACCAGGGCATCTGGCTGGCTCAGTCAGTGGAGCATGCGACTCTTGATCTCGGGGTTGTGAGTTCGAGTCCCACATTGGGTGTAGAGATTACTTTAAAAAAATAATAATTAAAAAAGTGGAAAAAAAAAGGAAAAGAAAAAGGACCAAGAAAAAATATTTTAGCAATAGGAATTTTCTGTTGTAACATATTCTCAGTGAATGTTTTTTTTTAACTTACTAAACAAAACAAAACAAAACAAAACTGCCTTTTCAGACAGCAGTTACTCTGATTAGTACTACAAATGGACCAGAAAATCTGCAGTGGCAAATTAAGGTAACACTGAAGCCTGTCTTGGGAATCAATAGACTAAATATGCAAAGTGAAAATAAGTATTAAGGTGTTTTACCCGTTCCTTTAAAATGGGGCTAAAGGAAAGTTCACATTCAAGATTTGACTCAAGTTGTGGATTGAATGGACTTAAAATGCTTTTGTAGGAAAAGTATTTAGCAGTTCATTAGGTCTTGGAAAGCCAGGAAATATGGGTCTCTCCACTCATCTATATCCAGGGACCTTTCTCTTTCCTCCTAATTCTCACATTGTTTCAAATCCTGATTCCTGTTCTTAAAAAGTATACGCAAACAATGAATCATGGAACACTACATAAAAAAATTAATTAATTAATTTTTTAAAAAGTATACTTAATCGGGGGCACCTGGGTGGCTCAGTCAGTTAAGTGCCTGACTCTTGATTTTGGCTCAGGTCATGATCTGAGGGTCATGGGATTGAGCCCTGAGTTGGGCAACCCACTAGGCATGGAGCCTGCTTAAGATTCTCTCTCTCCCACCAGAGAGGGAGACAAAGAGTAAGAGACCCTTAATCTCAGGAAACAAACTGAGGGTTGCTGGAGTGGAGGCAGGTGGGAGGGATGGCGTGGCTGGGTGGTGGACATTGGGGAGGGTACGTGCTATGGTGAGCGCTGTGAATTGTGTAAGACTGATGAATCACAGACCTGTACCCCTGAAACAAATAATACATTATATGTTAATTTAAGAAAAAAAAGATTCTCTCTCTCCCTTTCCCTCTGCCCCTCCCCCTGCTCTCCCTCTCTCTCTTCCTCTTAAAAAAAAAAAAAGTATATTTAATCATGAAAATTCTCTAAACTTAAATCATGTTTTTGGGGTATGGGATAGGAAATAATTTTGTCATTTTAATAGCTATGTGCAAATAAACATTTTAAGACACCATGAGACAAGATCGTTCCAAAGGAGCAAAAAGGATTCCATCTGTTCCGAAACCCATAACCAGAGCAGTATCTGAACAATATGTAGAAAGATCCCTCTCAGCCTTTAATAATTTAAACCAGTGGTGTCCACTAGAAATATAATCTGAGCCACATACATAATTAAAAATGTTCTAGTAGTCACATTAAAAAATTAAAAACACGTTGGGTGTAAAGATTACTAAAATAAATAAACTTTTAAAAATGTAAAAAAAGGTGAAAATAATTTTAATACTTTAATCCAACAGATGAAATTATTATCATTTTAGTATGTACTCAAGTTAAAAGTTTTTAATGAGACATTTTACTTTTTTACTTTTTCATACACCAAGTCTTTGAAAACCAGTGTGTATTTTGCACTCACAGCACATCTCGATTTCGGCCAGCCCCATTTCAAGTGGTGAAAACAGTCCTGACCCATGGAGTGGTGTTAGCATCTGTTAAATTTGTATCGGCTATATTACTTTGGGGATTTTGTATTTGGAATATTTTATAATTTTTTAAAAAGGGAGAATAACACACTGGATTTAAAACAAACAAACAAAAGCCCAGCAGAGAAAACGGAGTAAATCTGTCCAAAACAATGATGTCATCAACACTGTAACTGGGGGAGGGCAACTGGATAAACAGTCATAATAGGAGGCAACGCAAATGGTTTATTTGGGTTTGGAATATGTTTTATATTTAGACTAGTATATAAATGCACTTGCTGTTCTGTATACTCTCACGTCTGTGCACCCAGCATTGAGCCACCTGGGATTCTTGGCTCAGGGGTTCCTTGGGGCTGCTCCGGCTGCCTTATGTGAGATCTGCGAACCCAGCGCCACCACCTGGTTGCCATCCCAGGTGGCAGGATGTCCCAAACAAATGCAAAGCAGCCCCACTTCCAGGGTCGCTCTCTCCTTCTCTCCCTTTCTCCCGTCCTTCCTTCTCTTTTATTTATTTATTTCTGTCTGCCTGTTTCCCTGGGGCAAGGGAGTCTCTTTTTTCCCCCTGACACTTCTCTTGGGCTCTACGGACCGAGAATAATCAGAAACGTTCCGTGAATGGGTAATGTCAGCTAAGAACAGGAAAGTATAAATGTCCTAGGAACCATTCATTCGTTCCATTTACAGTTCTCTAGTGAGGGCTTACTGTATGCCAGACACAGTGCCAGAATAATCTATTTGAGACTCATGTAGAGATTATCCTGCAATACAGCTTCCCGAAATGGGCTCACATGCCCCCCCCCCTCCCCCGGCTATAGCTTTCTCGGTGGTCATGCCTTTCTTGCCAGTCCCTCATGTGTACCTCCTCTGCCCCGCCCTCACAGGTACTTCATGCTCATTATGTCTTAGAAGTGCTCTTTGAAACAAAGAGAGTCCTGAAGCAAATGCCGAACTTCACTCACGTAAAGACATCTCCCTCCAAAGAGATAACGATCTGTGGTAAGTTTCAGAGCGGAGCTGCCAAATTAATATTTAGGAGCGCCTTGGTTCTACGTCGTTTGCTTAATGTGAAAACTGTGCAAATTGGACTGTAGTAAGGGAAAAGTGTTAATATAGAGTTATCTATCCTGATAATACTGTTCCCCATCTTGTCTTTGTTTTGCATACCAGCTGGCAGGAATTAATTATGTGAGAAATTAAAGAACTCATAGCTTTTTATAAAGGCAGGCAGCATTTTAATACGGAAAACCACCCATGGGTAGAATGAGCCTCCTTTGCCCTCCGTCTAGCTCTCAGTATCTTCGTTCCATGTTACTTTTGCTAGGTGCGCCTCCGTGTGCCATTTATGCTGGGAAACCAAAAGCCCAAGGCAGGGTGGACATTAAACTCTTCTCTGCCCTTGGCTGCTCTTTTGGATTTTTCCAACTGGTCGCTGCAGTTTTTGGAAGAGTGGGAATGTCCCAGAAATCTGTTCCTTGTTCTTCTAAATAACAAGACTTGAGATTTTGTTATCGTATAGGCCAGCCTGGCAGGATATTGCTTCAAGAAACAGTACACATTGAAATTCAACACAGTTGGTGCTCAGCAGGCTTGCAACTGTCTGAGAATGGGGTGCGTGGAAGGAACAGCAATTCCCTTAACTTCTAATTAGGCCTTTAGGTTACAAAACAGTGATTGTTATTTTCCAAATCAATTTTTAGCCTGTGTTTCTTTTCTGCTGGCAGGTAGAAGTGGATTTGACAATCTAGTCAAACCATTTGCATTGCTAGCTCCTGATAGTGGTGGTGGGGACTTGATGCAGCAGCACGTGCCATGGGCCTGGACTTGAGCTGCTGAAGCATCTTCACTGATTCCAGCCGAGTCGGGCTGATGCACCTCTGCCTGACAGATGATGCAGCTCAGCAGTGGGGACCCTTTATTCAAGGCCTCACCAGCTCTTACTTTTCACAAAGATTAAGACTTGGGGGTCATGAAGCTCAGGGAGCCATGCCCACCCATGGAGTCCATGGAGCCAGGGCTAGGTATGCTATCAGAGTGTATATAAAAAGCCAGAGAGTGAGATCTGCTCCCACATGTTTCCAGTATACCTGCAGTTGCCATTGTAGATTTCTCTTTGGGTGAAAGGATCTAGAAGAAGACGTGAATTAGAAGGCAAGGGAGTCCTGGCCTCACATGGTGTAAGAACTGAATGGTTCTTACTGGGACTAGTCTCTCACTTGTTCTTGCGGATGAAATTGAGGCCCAGAGAGGAAAAGGAACGTGCGTTGCCTTCCCTACATTCCTTCCTCCCTCCCTTCCTTTCTTTCCTTCTTCCTTCCTTTCCTTCTTTTTTCTAAAGATTTTATTATTTATTTATTTAAAAGATTGTATTTATTTGAGAGAGAGAATAAGATAGAGAGAGCCTGAGAGGGGGGAGGGTCAGAGGGAGAAGCAGACTCCCCACTGAGCAGGGAGCCTGATGTGGGACTCGATCCCGGGACTCCAGGATCATGACCTGAGCCGAAGGCAGTCGCTTAACCAACTGAGCCACCCAGGCGCCCCAAGACTTTATTTTTTAAATAACCTCTACACCCAACGTGGGGCTCAAACGTACAACGCCAAGATCAAGAGTCACATGCTCCACTGACTGAGCCAGCCAGGCACCGCTCCTTCCCTGCATTTCTATGTAGTGACTCTCCCCCACCCCACTGCCCCCAGGCTCACTCAGCTAGTTACTGGTAGGGTCAGAATCAAAAATGAGGTCCTTGGCGTCCCAGGTTAGGGCTGGCCCCATATCTGCTATCCCAACTTCCATCACGCATCTCTCTGACTGATGTGTCATTTTCCCTCCTGAGACAAAGACTAGGGAATGGATTGATTGGACAGTTCATTCACTTAAAGATCTCCACATCTTGGGCGTTTGTTTGCAGACATTTTTCCATGTAGCACCATGGCTAGAGGGAAAAGCCAAGGCCTGTACTTTCCCTTAGCTTAGGAATTATTATTTTTGGTCTTTGTAGCCCCATTAAACTTAGATAAATTTGGTCATCATTTAAAATTCAAAATTGGGGCTGTATTTTCAAAAACATCTGTTTAAGACAGTACTAGGAGAGGGAGAGAAAGTGTGATGAAATTATTTTAATTTCCAGATGCATTTTTTTGCATGAACATCTCAACATGCTGCATAGTTCTCAACACACATGCAATATAGAAGGTGTTTTAGTCTCTAGTTATGTTATAAAAGATAACCAATTCTGCACTCATGTTTTTGTTTGCAGTGGAAATATCTCTCTGTGGCTGTCTTTCCATGATACATCAAGTTTTATCTATTGCTGTCCAACTAGAAGTTAAAAATACTTATATAGCTCAATTCCTAATAAGCGGAAACCAATTCATTTTTTAGTATGCCGGCTGCAACAATTTTGTCTCCCAAATCTTTGAAAGACAAGCCACTCTGAGGAAAATAAAATAATTTAAAATATATATTTAATTGATAAGTAAGAAGTCCTTCCATTTTTATTTCCTTAGATTTGGAGTAAGATCATAGGAAAGCAATGAGATTTAAGTATACAACAGCATTAATATGCTCTTAATATTATAGTCATTTTAGGGCACCTGGGTGGCTCAGATGGTTAAGTGTCTGCCTTCGGCTCAGGTCATGATCCCAGGGTCCTGGGATCAAGTCCCGCATCGGGCTCCCTTCTAGACGGAGAGCCTGCTTCTCCCTCTGCCTCTCTCTCTGTCTCTCTGTCTCTCTCTCTCTCTCACTCTCATGAATAAATAAGTAAAACATTTAAAAAATAAAAAAATAAAAAATAAATTTAAAAAAATATAGTCATTTTATAAATAAGTGCTGGTGATGTAGGACTTTTATTTTATTATTCTCATTACAATCGGAGGCTACTGTTGCATATATTTGGTTAATTTTGGTTGTGGGATTTCAAGCAAACCGAGGAAAGGTATTTCTATATTAAATTCTATTTGGTAATCAAGTTGGATGCAAAGAATAAAAATTAATGATCAGAGCCTATGAAAGACAGATAGTTTACCTAGAAATATTTGTCCAAATAGGGCTTTTGACTAATATAGTCACTCTTAATTTTTAATTAATGGCTTCCTATATTTATATGGTTTCCCTTGGTTAGCTGAGTTTTATAAAGCCATGCTTTCATTTTTATTTCCTATAACTGTCTCATCAAAAGAATGTCAACTCACAATTTTTAAATTTTAGTTGCTATTGCTGGAGCATATTCTCTAATACATGGCTTTAAATACATAGCTTTTGAAAAAGCTGTGCATTTAGCAATTAAGTATATTTATTGATTGCTTATTATGTACCAGGTACTATGAGAGGCACTGGGGATTTAATGCCAACTGACAGATACTATTGCAGCTCTCCCACAGATTACAGTGTAAACAATACCAAATAATCGCTAAGAGCTTGAGTTTGGAGTGAGATAAAGTTGGGTTTGAATTCTAGCTCTGATACTTGGTAGCTGGGTAATTTTGCATCAGTTAACTACCCTGAGCCTCCTTTGTAACCTCAGAATGATGAAAATAATACCCATCTCACAGAGCTGTTGTAAGGATTGAACAGGATAATTCATGTAAACCCTTAATGCAGTGCTTGGCGTAGAGGAAGCTAAGCACTGTGTAAATGGCAGGAGCGAACAGGTAATTGTAACATCAGATGCTGTCCCCCATAGGAAAGGGGATAAAAAGGGAGCTATGAAAACAAATTGTTGCATTAATACCATCATAGGGTAAAACCCCAATGCCCTGAGAATACTTAGAGTATATTGGCAGCATTTCAGTTTCAAAATTCTGTAACGAAATCGGCATTTTCTTGTTTCCTACTGAATAGTGATTTTTCATTTGCACTCCAGGTGATTTACATGGGAAACTGGATGATCTTTTTTTGATCTTCTATAAGGTAAATAATTATTTTGCTAAATAGTGGCATTTTTGTGGGGGGAGGCAGTCCTAGGGCAGATAACAACATTGGTTTTACTAGGGATATGGACAAATACAGATGTATGTAACAGCTTTATTCTAAGAAGCCGAAATATTTATAGAAGGTTATCTTTCAGCCGTGTAACACATATTTCACCAAAACAATCTTTAAAAAATTTAATCCGGGTCTTTGATGTTACAGTTATCTATATATCCAGTGGGATTTGCACCTGATTATACTTATGGTCTTTATCACATCGTAAATGTCTAGATGGCACAGAATGGGGAGGGGAGCGATCTGTTTTGTTTTTATTTTGTTCAGGAGTGAGCGTGTCACACACCAGTCTTCTCTTCCGAAGCACGCTCATTATGTATGAAGGGAGTGCCCCACTTAGGAAGTTCCAAATTGCTCTCTTCTCTACCCTGATTCACCATCGCTGAGCTCAGCGCCGCGACTCCTCTCCATTGGTTGGGTTTCGGCTGTGGGGGCCCACACAGAGGCCACAGAGCAGCGTGGCTGGCATGGGGTTTCTCTGCATCTCTACAAAGGGATTCATTTCTCTCTCTGAGCCAGCAGTGACAACCTGAATATTTGCTTCTGGGACAACTGATCCTGAGGTGACCTCTGCCTTCATCCCTTTATGTCTCTTGTTGATCCCTGTGTCAGTCCCCACAGCTAGCATGTTGGATAACTGGGCACAGTATAGGTGTCTCCAGTGGTTGAAAGAAAATATATTCTGATTATTATGATGGCCAATCATTTCTACTCTTTGGAGACTGTGAGAGCTTAAGTAAGCCACGTAACCTCCGTGAAATTCAATTTTTTATTTTTTGGCTGTAATATTCTTGAGCTTCCACCCCACAAAAGGCTGTCTTATGGATAAAATAACGAATATCCAAAAGCATTTTTTAAGGTAATAAATTATAACAGAAATGCGAGGTTTTAATTTCATTCATTTCAAATGGAAGCTTAGAAGGGAATGGAGTGGGCCAAACCAGGAGTGGACGAATGGAGCTGGCACTTAGGACATTCAGTGGAGACTGCAGGAGACCTAAGCAAGGATCCAGAGCCTGGTAGCCGGAGAACCGGAGCAGAGGAAGTTAGGCTGCCCAGGAAGTTAGGTTGGTGCCAGGAAGACCAGCCAAAGTTTTTCTGGTAGGGAGCTGACGGTGCTAGCAAAAGAGCAATTCCTGAGATCAAGCCCAGAATCCAAGCTGGGCGGGGAAGGAAGAGAAGTCAGGATGGGCCAGCCAACTAGGAGAAATGGGAGGACAGCAGGACCGGCATGCTTTCTGAGCAAGGGAGCAGACAGGTCGGGGCGAGGGCCTTGGGAAGCAGGAAGGGTGGGAAGTTATACGGGGGAGAGTCCTAGGAGATGAGCGTGTCCACGGTGGAGTCTAGAAGGTGGGTGGCTGAACACAGTGAAAGAGACTATGGGAGATGAGGGGGTCGAGGATGTGGAAGGCAAGTGTGTTAAGTGAGTTGGCCACAGGACTGTGAGGTGAGGAGCAGGGGAAGGAAGGCTAGTCAGAGGTCATGGGCTGGAAAGGAGGAGGGGCTTCTAGCCAAGGCTGGCAAAATGTTGGTCTTTTATAAAAGAGTGGCTCTGAGGAGCATGTGAGGAGTCCATCAGCCTTCTTGGCGGGGGGGGGGGGGGGGGGGGGAGGAGAGGGGGCCCAGATTTCAAGAGGGAAGTCTTCTGAATGAGTTGAAGGCAGAAGAGAGTTTATTTACCATGAAATGGGGATTCTACCGGCCAAATTGGAAAGCTGTGGGAGTGGTGGGAGAATGACTGGTGAGAGGACACTAAGGAGTTAACACAGTTTGGGGAATGAGATTTGTTTAACTCAGTTCATGGGGCCATAGTAAGTGTTCAGAAGTTCAGTCCCACTACCACTGACAGTGACAATCGGAGTGGGGAACAGCCACAAGAGAAAATCCAGCGATTATGTTTTTAGAGGTTTGGGGAGATACATAAAAGGGAGAATAGTTGAGTAAATGAGATGGGAAAAATGACTCCTGAGGCATTTAGAAATGCAAATTTCTTGAGAGGTAGTTGAAGAGATTAAGATGTGATCAGGGAAAGGACTTGGGGAGTAGACAGATGAGAAAAGAGAATCACAACGTGTTTCTTTAACTCTGTCGGCAGAGCGGTATGGAACATATGAAACTGGAAAGTGCTAACGTAAAGACTGAACAGGAGGAGGTGGGTGGTAAGGAGTACCATAAAAAGAACGAAAGGTGAAAATATAGCATTCACATGAAAGCAAGAGGTATTTTGAGAGTTAACCAACGACAGTGTTCCAGAAGTGGAGGCTGAGAGTCCAGCAGTGGAAGAGTAGGGCACTCTCCTTTGGGAGGAATTTGGGGGGAGGGAGGTGAGAGGGATGTTTGGAAAATATGAATTCAAGTTTTAACAGGCATGAGCGAGAAGCAGCTAAAATGCATCTCAGATGTGGGATAAACCATGCGCCGCAGAATCTTGAAATTGCCTGGTTTGAAAGGGGCAACTGAGGGAGGAGCCACTGAGAACAGCAAGGTTCCACTCTTAGAAGGTGAGAAGGTGCTGTCGTTGATGGCGTCTGAGAGGGGAAAAGGGCCTGGTGGGCCCGTGATGATGGCGAGCCCCTCAGCTTAGGGGCAGCAAGGGCAGAGAGGGTCCGGGGTTGCAGGCCCCGAGAGGAAAGGGCGGTCACGCGGGCATGTCTGAGTAAGCTCCTTCACATGATGATCTCACTCACAAAAGTCAGCATTTTGCCTTTTTCTGTTTCACTTTTTATCTGAAGTTTAAACGAGGAATGATAATAGGAGGCAAGGGTCCAGTGCAGCCTGAAACCGGGCACACACACTGTTCGGGAAACAGTGTTTGTACCTGAATACCAAGGGCAGTGACAGCCCCCTCTCCAGGGGGCGAACCCCCCTGTACTTATCTTCACTTGGCTCTCCTCTGTGGTCCCAAACCCACGCAATTAAGGAGAAAGGGTCTCTAAGTTCTTGAAATCGCTGTCACAAATCCAGGGAACTTTCCTCACAGGACGGACCCCAGGCCCTTACTCAAAGACCAGGGAACATTGTATCCGGAAAATCCCATCTGATACATACCTTCTTGCTACAGGGAGGCCGGTCTGCTCCCCACCCCAGCAAATGAGGGAGTGGGAGGGGGAAAGGCAGGAGTGAGAAAGGAGGACAAGGGTGACAAGCAAAGCTCCTAGTGACAGAGGAGACCCAGACCTCTAAGTGTGAGAGAGGAAATGTGTACAGGGAGGAGAGTTCTGTATTTCTCAGAAGTACCTGAGAGGGTGCTTAGATCGACAAGCCTGCAGGGTCAAGAAAGGGTTAAGGGCTGTGTGGTGCATACTCGGTTAAGAAGTAGAGAGGACAAATGGCGCATTTTCAAAACCCTGAGTTAAAATGGTTAAAGTAATTTAAAAACGCATTTTAGCTTTTAAAGGAGTAAGCTTCAGTGATCTGGAAAATTCATCTTAGCAGTACTTACAGTATGAGTGAGTATCATTATTGGGTCTTAGGTATAGGAGGACAAAAGAACACGAGGGGAGGGAAAGGAAGATGAGTTGAGAGAAGCATAATGGGCCAGGGAAGTAGATGAGGGGGAAAGAACGCACATCTTACGAACAAGGCAGGGAAAGGGGGGGTGCTGGACTTCTCTCTGTGGCCTCACATGGGGTTGACAGCAGGTGGCAGCTCTGACCTAAGCCATCTCTCAATTACTTCAGGAAATGGTAGGGTTTCTGTGATGGTGGATGATGCTCACTGCAAAACTCAGTGCATCAACAGTGTGGTTTTGATTCCCGATTATGTGGAATGCCCCGTGTGTGGCCCTTTCCTCTGGTTCATCCTCAGCAGCACGCGGGACTGAGGCGCCTCAGGGTAAGCCTCGCACTCTCTACCTCCTACTTAGAAGCAGCTAGTGGCCTTGCTTTCACTTATCCTTATTTTATTATGATTTGTTTAGTAAAATTATCATCTGATGTTTGTTTTATTTTTTCTCATTTAATTTTTCACCATGCATTTTATTCACATTCTGATTGAGCTTGAATTGTAGGGAACGGTTTGGCAAACTAGTGTTGGAGATCTTTGGAGCTGTGAATCACTAAAGTTTATATTATGCTTTGACTGATTCCTCTCAGTCAACCCAAAAGAGAAACCAGGAAACCCCCAGGCTTTGGATTAAGGCAAAATTGATATTCATCTTTCAGTGGGTACTTTGCTAGGCCATTTCTTCCTTGTCAGGAATGGGGCTGGCCCAAGGCCAACCAAAGGCATAGCCTGAGAGGGAGAGTTACAGTGGAGGGACCCTGAGATGCCTTGCCATACTACTGTTTTCATCCAAACGGTTGGTTTGGTTCAAGACTCAAATCCTTATAACCAATCATATACAAAAGTGAGTCTATCCACAGATTTATTCATTTAATACACTTTTATCTGGTCCTTCCAGTGTTCAAGGCACTATATGAAAACTGTGAAGATACAAAGATGAATATGAACTTTCTTCATTTCACATGTATTTATTAAACCCGTTATGAATGAGGTGCTCTGCTAAAGGTTGGCAAGACAGTGTGACTAAGATGCAGTTTTCAGGCCCAGAGACATCACAGTTTAGTGGGGAAGGTCAACTAGTAAAAAGACAAGACAGGTCAGGGTGGGACATATTAACGCTAAGGAGAAGCACAAGTCTCCAAGGTAGCATGTTGGAGGGGCACCTCACCTCATGGGAGACTTCCTGGAGGAGGTGACATTTAAGACAACCTGTTCAAAGAATTGTAGTCATTTAGTAAGTGCCAAAATCATGAAGGAAAGTTTTGGAGGATCGGAAAAGATTTTATTCTCGCACACTCTTTGCGGTGCCCTGTAATAAATAATGGGATTCATACCAGTGATTGCTTTTGATTATTTATGTTGAGATTTTGGTTCCTTTCATATTTGGTTGTCCTTACAAATTGTATCATTTAGCACCTTAA